ACAGCTAACGAGCCCGACCTGCCCGGGTTTAAAGTCAGGGTTTTCCTTCCCCTAGTCCAGTGGCCGTCCCGAAAGCGCCTCTCGGAGCTGGACACCCCGGATTTGAAATCAGGGTTTACTCCCCTAGTCCGATTGCGCCGTGGCTGACGGGGTCGGACGCCCCGGATTTGAAGTCAGGGTTTTCTCCCCTATCCCAGTTGCACCGGCATAAAGTGCTAAGCGAAGCTGGGAGCTCCCGGTTTTTGTTCGAGGTTTTCCTTCCTCTATTCTCCCTCTTAGTACAGGATCTCATTGAAGGCCTTACTNAGCATGGGTGACCCTACCAGGGAATCAAAGGATTCCCCGCCAGCATAGCCCCTCAGATCATAGATCCTAAGCCTGGACACCACGACAAGGTGGGGAGAAGTCGCCCAGGAACCTAACCCTAACCTAACCTACGCTTGCGTATCAATAAATAGGTGAAATGAATATTCCGCAATTGCATGCATTGATGACTGTTGTTTGTCAGATTTCCTTCAAACTCCAACGTAAGGCAGCAGTGGATAAATGCAATACACAAGTTAAATCATCAAGAACTTGCTCTACAGTTGCCAAAATATGCAAAAATTTGTCTTCGACATTTCGACAGTGCTTCTATAAAACAATTCGGTTTTACTCAAATACGATTAAAACCGAATTCTGTGCCGTCAATATTTCCAAATACATCGGATAAAGAAAGGTATATGTAACTAAAATACAGATTGAGTGGAAATGGCACATTCATAAATAGCAAATAATTTGTATTGTATACTTTCAGTGCGGATAAAGAATCTTCTTCAAAGGTAGCTCGTATCAAGATGGAATCAATTATGGATTTGTGCGATACGATGCAAACCCAAGGTGATGACTACATTTCTAATAATGAAAAGTATCGAATAAAGCATTTAAAAATATGAAAGATAGCAAAAATAGTTGAAGTAGCAATGACATTCATAAACAGCATACAAATTATATTGTATATTTTCAGTGCGGATAAAGAATCTTCTATGAAAAGTGCGGATAAAGAATCTTCTGTCGAAAATGTTACGACAGTGCACCCTGTGCAGGAAGAAAGCAACAGAGAGTTATAACTCAAGGTTAGAGAATATGCATTGTTAACTACTATAATTACATACTTATCTATTAAGATTCTCCTGAAATGTCATCTAAGTGTTTTGTCAAAATAGTGTGCTATTATATAACTTTTTAATATCTTTGTAATATTGTACAAAGATATATAAGATATTATTTATATTCTTTGTAATATTTACAGCAACGATACCATTATCGACATGGAACCTGACTGTGCTTCGGCAGGAACTTCTAAACCGTTAAAATATCCAGCTCAAATCACAGAAGAGAATATACTGACCATGTCGCCAAAATCGATAGTCCAATGTGTACGTATATTGAAAGACACCTACGAGAAAAAAACACATGCAATCAAACAACTGCAAAAACATCAACATCGACAAAAAAAGAAGATCAAAAGTTTACAAGCGTTATTGTCTGAATTATCAAAACGCGAGCTTCTTTCTCCCAATGCATCGGAAATAGTAACGGTATGGTTAACATACAACTAACAAGGAGACCCCATAGTTGACTACCTACCGATTTTAATCTTCTTGCACATGATGAATCTGCATTGAAAATAAATAAGTTGATCTCTGTCCGAGCGTTTCGTCCAATGCGTCTTGTAAGTGATTATATTTTATGCTTGAAAAGATCCCGCACGGACACGGATCAACTTATTTTCAACGTAGATTTACCATGTGCAAGGAGATTAAACTCGATGAGTAGTCAACTGTGGTGTTTCCTTGTAAGATAACACAACTGAATAGGCAATTGGGTAAATTTTACTCGAATATGATCGATTCAGATGAAAAACACGTGGTATTGTAAGGTTAAATATAAAATATATGAATTGGAATTGTAAATAATATTTAATTGTACATAGGATCATATATTTCTACGTCAAGTGTCAGAGAATTTGTCTATTTTAATCATGTAATCTTGTAATGTCTCACATGTCAAGAGTTGTGCAATTCTTTTGAAAAAAAGTTTTGACAATTTCAAAATCAGATTTATTTCCTTATTTCCTGCTTCCTTTTTCTTCTCGTGAATCATCAAGGATTGTCAGTTAGACATACTTTAAACAAAACAATTTTATTTAAAGGACATTAAGAAAAAATATAGACAATACATATTATATAGTACAATATTGTTATATTTACATATATTATGTGTACATTACATATGTAAATATAATACAATGTATTTTACAATACAATATGTATTGTCTATAGTTTTCTTTCTTGTTATTTTTTCGTATATTATATTACATTATATTATTTTATAAAATATATTGATATAATTTATATTATATTATATTATAAAATACATTACTTTTACACATAATCATTGTTTCTTTTCTTTCTTACTATCTTACATATTACTTCCTGACAGTATATAATATAGCTTGAAATTCAGAATAAAAATCTATGTAAAACATATAATTATTGGCATACTAATACATACTGGATTTAAATTTCCCGGCATTTTACTCTCTGGGACGGAGCTTATTCGACCCGAAAAACTCGCATTTCGATCTTCAGCCTACTTCAGTTCGGCGACATAAGACATATGCTTTTAATATGGGAAAAGTGGGGGGCTAGCAG